ATTCTGAGATCTTATAGAATTGTGTACTCACAGATGAGACATCCCTTTGATTGGTCTTCATTTGCTTGAATCATAGAAACCAGAGTGAATTTAGCAGGCTGCACAAAAGCACCTGCATAATTTTGTAACCAACAGCACATAAGCTCAAATCTCTTAATTTGGATATCACTACACATGACTGTTGTACACAGAGGGAACAAAACACAATTACAGAATCCCCCACCCCTTTTATTTTTCGTCTTTTTACTTGATGAGCTTGAGGCAAATTTATATGGATAAAACCAACACATAGTGAACTTGCATATGTTCAAATAAAAGAATTATTAAATTTTGACTTGCTTCTGGCTTTGCTATAAGACAGAGATAAATATTAGGAGAAGGAAGCACTGGTTTTACTGTTGTGCCTAAATCTAGTCCAAGGAATACAGAAGCCTGAACTTACAGAGCACCAAGTAATTCTGGACACCATTGAACAAAAAAGTGATCATTAACAACTTATTCAAAGACTGTTGGGAAAAAAACATAAACAAGTTATTAAAAAGTAGGGAATTATTTAGTTACAGTATTACGATTTCCAAGTCATTACATTTTTAAGGCAAATTCTTATAGTAACAAAACACATTACTAATGTGTACTAAAATAAGGTTATTTACTTAAAAATGATACATTGGACATAATCTGTGTACAGAACAAGCAATTCATGGTAAACTCAATAAGGCACCTTCTAAAGCAGATGCTGTACAAAATACATTAGTGTGTTACATTTTTAAAGGAGTATTCTACACTTCTGGCATATAACACACACAAGAGAGTGACCATTTCTCTTGTTCCACTCTTCTTTCATATTTTATTTACATCTTCTCTAGGTTAACTACAATGTTATTTATTCTTCTTGTATACAATATAGTACATTTCATTTTGGGCATGGCATGTCAGAGCACAAATGTCACTACACGATGTGGGCTTCTATAATTGCATTCAACAGTAAAATATTACAAAGCAACAATTGCATGAGATTTGTTCAAAAATAAGAAGTAATGTGCACTCCACTTCTGCTACACCAACCAAGGCTAATACACCAAGGCTCCATAAAGCACTGTATCGTGCAACATTGCCAGCCATTTTTAGACATCACCTTTACTTGGAATAAAGATTGTGGGCACAGGATAAATACTTTTGACTTCAGAGGCACTGTCAGAAGAATGAGAAAGCGCTAATCACTCATGTTTGACAGAAGATGAGCAGGTAGCTTCCCTTTAAAAATATGTCCAACAGCGAAAGAATGTTTTTTAACTTAGTATCTTTGATTTTCAAACATTATAGACCATTAAAATCCAGTCTGTGAAGATAGAGAAGACAGAGTAGATGAAATGTATCCAAATGATTTTTATAAACACATTCAAATGGTCATTTAGATCAAGATCTAAAATTTGATTCCAGACTACTGTGGAGGTAACTTAAAACATTAATTTTATATTTTATTCAATACCTCAAAATAGACTAATTAAGAAAATAATTGCGAAAAAGTGATTGATATTGGGAAAACTATCCGTTTCTTGAGTAAAACTCAGGAAAAATTACATATTGAGTAAGACTTGGAATAAACTCAAAATGTAAGCCTACATTTTTCTCTAGGAATATCACATTTCGTGTGGAATTTACAAGTTAACCAGGAACACAAAAGCTTTCCTTTCAGTTGCTGTAACAGTAAAAAGTGACTCAAATTATTTTCCACCTGAAATCACACGGAACAGGTTAAATAAACACAAAAAGCCTCCTCTGTATGTGAGCGCTTAAGAAGTTCCAAGGCACAGTCTTGATAGTCCCCAAGATATTTTCCACACTTCTGATTTTTATATTTAAAATAAAGGAAAAAAAAAATTGGCCAGTTTTGCGGCATATTTTTTTGGATGACAAATGCTTAAAATTTTGACCAACAAAATAAGATTAATCCCACTCCAACAGAAGAATCCTATTACCCTCTCTGACTTTAAAGGCTTCTGAACTCTACAGTATTGCATAAAGCAACAACTTAGCTTTAGAGCCTGCACTAAGTATGCTTATTATGTAAAAAATAGCGGGCTAGCTTTGAAGGAAGTTGTGGGGTTTTTTTCCCAAATGATTGTTAAAATATCAGTATAGACATACTTAGGCTCCAAACAGTGAATGACTTTGCATGGAATATAGGTATGTGCTCAGGTGCTTTATGCAACCAGATCCTTCAGTGATAACATTTTTTTGGAATATCAAGGAATGCTAAAGACCTAGCAGCTCCTGCTCAGGACAATGAAAACTGCACATGCATGATATGTTTGAGTATGAACCTAGCAACTGAAGCGCTGAAAAATTAAGGTTAAGCTTAAGGTGAAAAGATTTATTTTTTTTTCTCTCAAAGATCACCTTTGCAGCAGTCAGCTCACTTCTGTGTTGAAGTAAATGTGTAAATCAATTTAGGTCTTAAGATGTCTACCAAAGATCACCACCCTATTGCTTTGCAAACGCCTAAACAATGGAGAAGAAAATAAGTGAATAATTACAAATTATCAAAATTCACCCTTCAAGCAGTGGTTTCCTGAAGACTTGGGAAAAATGAATTAAAAAATTCACAAAACAAGTTTACAGCTAATAATGCTGTGGCAACTTTTAAAACAAATTAAAAAATATTCAAAATAGGAATGGGTAATTTAAATAAATCTCCATGCTCTGAAAGTTTAAGCTAGCAGGGTACCTACATAAACATTTTTTCTTATTATTGATAAAAATCCTAAAGAAGGAACAAAAAAAAGCTTATCCCTTACTTTTTTTTGGCTCATACCAAATATCTTCCAACTACCTGTGCAAAAATTATGTGCAAAGACATGATTAGCAATTTCAAACTCATCATATATTTCTTGGCAATGGACGGAGAAATGTGTTTTTAAAAAGCCCTTTATCATGAGGATTGTGGCACAATATCGTATCTCTTGCTGTTTTCAAATAAGTTAAAACCATAGTTGACACACCTATGAACTTCTCAGCCAGAATACATATTAATACTTAAAGGCATTACTGAATAAAAGTAATGACTTTATTTTTTTTTTAAAAAAAAGTCCCTTGAAATAGCTAGTTTTCTATAAAATATGTAGAACTGTTAAATAAAGTCTGTACATCACAATAGAAAATAAAAATACTGCAATCTTTTGCCTGACCATTTACATTATGTGAACTAGATAATTAAAAAAAAAACCCCACGTTAGAATGTTGTAATTGTTCACAAATCACATTAGTTCTGCATTAAATTGGTTTCTATCAGTTGTATTTTCAAGGGAAATTTAAACACATAACAAAACAATCTCCACGTACATATTTTAAGACAACAAATAATCTGGCATAAATCAATCTGGAGTTTTAACATTTTTTTCATCAATTTTAATATTATTCCTAACTTTCTTCTTCAAATCTCGACTATGGCATATGTATGTGTGTGTGCATGTATCTAATTGTACACATGTACCTACAACTAGGTGGTAATTTTTTTTTTTAAACTAAAGCACAAAACACACTGTATAAATAACTTCCCTTTTTAAAGTTACCTAGAACAAGATTTACAGTACAAAGTTATAGGCACTTAAATTATCAAATAGGTTCAATGGTTCCAATACTGTGTATTCACTCTTCAGATGATTCACGCATTTGGAGCTTCAACTTGAGTTACTGTACTATTTTCTAACTTCTACTTTGAAGTGCCAAAGGAGTTATAAATCAGTAAGTCTGCCTTACAGTAACCTCATGGAGGGGTTCTGGCTTTTTACCAACTTGTCTTGATCAGTGAAGAAAAGGAGGCAACTACATTTGCTGTACATGCCAAGTAGTTGGCACAATAAGACCAAATTTTGAAGTTATGTTAACTTACTTTATCTTCATGAATTATCTTTCAATGCTATCCCTCTAAAATGTGCTTAGCTAGAATTTAAAACACCCAGTGATTTACCTTGTCTCAAGTGTTGAATTTTCTAACTGGCCACTAAGTGGCCCACAGGCATGGCCTCCTGCATTTATATCAGGGCAACCCAGCTCAAAATTTTCTGCATGTTGTAGATCTTATCTTCAACAGGTCACATATTCAGTTCTCCTGGTTTTGACCTTTACTGTATTCTCTAATCTTCCGAGTGCCCAGCCTGCGCTTCCTGCCTTCCCTCTTTTGTGTCTGTAAATTTCTCAAGCCTTTCAAAACTTACCTTCTGCCTAGCTTTGTCAAATGATGAAAAAGCATCCTCCTACAGCTGACTGATTCCCTCCTGTATGGAAAAAAGTTCAGAGCATGACAGGCACCTACCAGTGAGCCCCAATAAACTAGGAAGGCAAAACACATCATCAATGGTCTTTCTATTAAGATGTAAAGTATTCTACAGCAAAAATGCTGGTTGCATGTGGCATTGTGAAAAATATGCCAAATTTCATAGTCATCCAATTATGGAGCCCACTAGACTGTAAGTGAGATGACCAAGGCAGTCTATACCTCTAAGAGAGATTGTTTCAAGCTCTTTAGAGACTTGGGTAGGCATTCCTTAATTTATTAATGGTTCACATTTTTGCAGTTCTTGTTGTGACCAAAACAACAATAGAAATAAAATTAAAACAGACATTTTTTAAGATAACTTCATGGCAAGGAGTAAATTCTGTAGCAAATCTCTGATCATGGAGCCACAAAATGCATGGAGCCCTGACCATAAAACTTTGTTCATTTAAATGATTTCTTACCTATTCCAAATGACAGTAAAATAATCCTGGCACACACATAAAGGCAGAAGGAACTGTTAAACTGAGTAGTATCACAAACAGATTCATAACCTACAGGCTGTTTCACAAAAAACTTGGTATGGATTGACTAGATTTTATCAGGTAGAAGGCAAAAAAAAGAAGCTTATATTCTCCATCTCTGTTGAATCCATATAGCTTGTTAGGCTTTCACAGAAAGCACCATAATCTGAACATTCAATTCAGTACCCAGAGTTTTACTGGAGACTAAGTATGACTGAAGTCTCAATGCAGCTCAAACAAAAACAAAACGTGTATTTTATCAAGGCTGTCCATATACGTAGCATGTAGTGTATAGAGGCTCTCAGTATCACAGTCTATGAAGTACTGAAAGATGTGATTAGCAGCCTGTAGAAGTGTGCTGAGAAAATATACTGAATCTCAGTTATTTCCTCTTTCCACATAGGTCTCACCCATGTTTGAGTGAAAAGATCTAGGAGTCCAGCTTTGCTCTCCAACGTCAATGTACTATGTCAAATCTTTACATCCTGTGATTCCACCATCTTGGCAAGTGTCTTCTTGATCCTCAAAGCGGTGAGCCTTGAGGCAGGATTATGAGCCCAGCATTCAGACATTAATTTCAATATTGCTCTTAAACACTGTAAAATAAAAACCAAAGGAACGGTATTGTAACAACTGACAAATCTGAGGTGTGTAATTTTCGTCTGCCGTCAGGCCCACATTTTAGAACTCTTAAGTCCAAATGTGCAACTTCTAAATTTTCTGCAAAATTGCAGATAGAGAACTATTATAAGCAGATCAACTTAAAAAGACCAACCCCAAAAAACAATGACCACATTCCAATCCTCCTTTTTCCTCCCCTTCACTGCCTAGTATTACAGTAGCTGGAACTAACTGAAGTAGTTTCACAAAGATGGATTATCAGAACTTACTAAAACTGAAGAACAGTGGTATAAAAATTGTAGCAATAAGCAGAAAAATCTCAATATATATGGCAGAAAAAATGTAAGAGAACTTTTTCACTGAAAATGAAGATGTGACAAAAGTTCTTTCAGCAGTCAAAAAATAGTATGGAAAAAACTGGGAATTCCTAAAAGAAATCAAGCATTGGGGGAAGAAAGGATATGGCACATCTAGCTTGCTATTGTGAAAGAGTTACACCTTACTTACTGTGTTCAAGCTGTGGACCTTTAAAAACACAATTAAATTTAATATTTCAGTTACATTGTGGCTTGCCCTGGAATGTACCAGTAAGAAAGAAAGAAAAAGACGAAATCTAAAACCACAAAGAAATCGCTTCATATTCCAGGAAATACCTTATGCCACAAACCGATATCCTAGATACATTAAGACTAATAAAACCAATTAAAAACTCATTTAAGTTCTATCTCCAATCAAAACGCTGAAATATATTCCACTATCTAAAAAGATGATCTCAATTAAAGTAGTATTCATACACTTGGATGCTGCTTAAGGGTATCTTCCCCTCAGATCACTGAAAAGATACATAAAAAATATGGTATTTTGAGTTTATTTCAAACACATCTTTCTCCTACTGTTGCTGTGAGGTTTTAAAAATATCAGAATGTCCGAATGTAGTCCTTAATTTACAATGTTTTAATAGTTATTAAACTACAATATCCTTCCATATTACTGAACAAACTGAACTAATTTTTCCCTTCAGCATACTCACTTCATCACTATTCCATCTATTCGATACTACAGGGCGTAGGCGTTTGACACACACCACTTCTCTCATGTCCTCATAGGATGGATCATTTGGCACCATGTCATAATATGGCAATTGATACTCTTCAACAATACCTGGAGATAATTGTGAAAGATCAAGAATCATTAAAAAAATAAAATGAATCTATATATCTACCTCAGATTTCCTGAGCCAGGAGCAAAAATTAACTGAATTTTGCGCCAAGGCAAACCCACCACACTGTTATACTGTGATAAAAATCTGAAAATTTCACTCTAACAATCAGACATTTACCAGAAAAGCTCCAATATTATGAATATTAAGTTTAATGGCTACAATAATTCCTTGCAGCCCCTTTGACTTTGATACCCAATGTAGAATTTGACATTTAATCCACTACATGCTACAAAGAAACAGGGAGAAAGCATAAGATGGAAGAAGAAGAGAATACAAGTAAAGACCTATAAGATCACAAAAGAAGAGTGAAAGAAAATGAAGGATGAGTCACAAAAATATGTGTAAGGTGAAAGTTGAATGACACCAGAAATGCAAGAAAGTATAACATAAGAATAATATCTTATCAGTTAAATTTTACAAGTTTTAGTAACAGCACAGGAGTGAAATACATCTGCATCCCACTATTTCTCCCAGACCAGGCACTCTGCTTTTTGAGCAAGGAAAAAAAGCCTGGGATGCTTAACTGTAACAATCAAAAAGGTTTGGTTCAGTGATTTTCAAGCTGTACTCTGGACAGATTGTTACTACTGCTTTTAAAGAACGCAAGCCTCTTGATATAGCAGGCTTGTTATATTATTTCCTGGCAAAGTATTGTTACAGTGAGACAAGGGCCTGGGAGATTTTATACAGAATATTTAAATGTTTACCTCCTGTGACGCAGCGCCGAGCCATTTCCCAAATGATAAGCCCAAAACTGTAGATGTCAGCCATGATGTATGGTTGGAAATGGTTTTTATTCAGGCTTTCATCTAGGACCTCTGGAGCCATGTAACGTTTTGTTCCCACTCTAGTATTCAAGGGAACATCAACTTCGTTTGTGTCACTATATGAAAATATTAGGAAGTTAGTGAATTATGGACTATTACAAGATACAGTATGAAATCCTCTATGATGCAATCACTACACTGCAAAGCTCCCATTGACAAACTAAATTTTATTTTTTTTTTCCTCTCAATACTATACTTACAATATATTGAACCCTGAAAAAGATTATCTAGAAAAATGATACTGCCTAGGGAAGTTCACGGTTCACTGCTTCTTTTGCAAGACATTGAAAACACATATGAAAAAAATTAATTAAAATCCACCATAAAGATGAGGATACTTGGTAACAACTCAGAAAATTATCTGCAAAGGCTTATTCTTCCTTCCAGGCTCTACTGTAGCAAAAGACAATTCTCTGGCTCCACTGAACTTAAAAAAAATAATAAAGAAAAGTATTTAATAATAGTTTTATGGTATTACTTATTCAATTAAGTTTCAACTCCCTTTACATTGTTCAAGTTTTCTGGCATAATTTATAATGAAACTACGTAATAGCAGTTTTGAATAACAAATGACTAGTCTCCTCTTCCTTTCCTCTACAAAACTACTTCTATTTTCCACAAAAAGTCTTTTCATTGTTCTCTTAACAACCTATTTTCATCTCGATACTTAGCAGCACTCAAAGGAAGAACAGCATTTTACTCTCAAAATTGAAAAAAACTGAAAGCATGCCATCAAATGATTCCACCTTCCTCTTAAACTGGATATCTGATGCATTAAAGAAGAAAATTATATAAAAGTTTTCCCTTTACAGAGGATTTGTTCATCTACCTGTTAAACTTGACTGCAAGACCCAAGTCTGCAATGCAGCAGGTTCCATTTTTCTTTATCAAGATGTTTTTACTCTTCAGGTCCCTGTGTGCAATAGCAGGCTTGCCTTGTGTCCCATAAATTTCTGTGTGTAGATGGCACAGACCACATGCAGCAGAATATGCCAGTTTGAGGAGAGCCCTGTTGTCTAGCGTAGTGCATTTCAGAAAATCATACAATGATCCATTTTCATGATAATCTGTAATCAAGTAAAGCTGTGTCCAAGAGCCAGTGCCTTTAATATCTGCAGCTATGAAACCTATGAAATATATAAACAAAGTTACCATTTATTTGTACATAAATTTTTTATGCAACAGATTTAGTAAGAATTCCTAAAGCTATATTGTCTTGGACTGTATCAGAAGATACCTGTTCCCCTTATGAAAACTAGTAACATAAAAGCTCAGCTCTCAACTATACATAAGGTTACCATTCCAGTCTTCCAGCAAACAGACTGCAGATACATTTCCAACCAAGAGTGGCAAATTTCCACCCTTTCAATAACATCTTATTAGCATACATTAAGGGACACTCAACTGGTTATTGCATAGAGCCCATCATATACCCCTCAAGCCACCCACTAAGAATTCCTCCTCCTTCACCCTCACACAAACCCTCCAGTAGCCAAACAATGTACTGCTTCCTTACCAAGGATATTTTCATGACGCATTAAAACAGTTTGGTAAATCTCTGTTTCTCGGAACCAACTGGCTTCTTCTGTGGTGAAAAACACTTTCACTGCGACTTTTTCACCCCTCCATTTGCCCATCCACACTTCACCATATCGTCCTTTTCCAACTTGCCTCACCATCTGAATTTGTTTGGCAATAGTGCGCTGAACCTAGGGAAGGGGAAAAAAAAAAAATTAAAAGAGGGGAAGGTGGAGGAGGGAAACCCAGCGATGAACCCAAAGTACCTGGACAAGCTGCTTGTCAAGTTTGGATTGCTTTGAATTTTGATCCCATTGTAAAATTTGTCCTATATTATTTTCCATTATTCTCATTTCAAACTCATTATTGCTGCCTCCGAGGAAGAATTGTATAACAAAACCAAAAAAGAGTAGATCAGCTCAACTTCTTATTTAATTCAGAAGCATTTGCTGGCATTCTGTTTGTTTCTATTTTACAAATAATTACAGTCATCTGTCTCACTGGTTAATTTTTATGCAAGTATTATATAGGATGGTGAATCAAAGACTATGAACAACTATCAGCCAATAAAAAGCAAATCTATTTTATTGGACAGTGGACACTAAGAAAAAAAATCTTTTGAGTTCACTTAATTAGATACTTGTATTATCCATTCATTGCATTTTTATCTTAATGTCTGTAGGGCCTAATTTTTCTTTAAATTTTGCTGACGACAACAGATTTCCTAACAATACAATCTGATTTTGCACTTCATTTTAGTCAATTACGTGAAGATGGGCTTTCATACGTTTAGTGCATACTATATCTTTCATAGTTATTGTACATAAAATAATCAACATACTGTACAGATAAACTACTTTGTTCTAGGCATTAGGTACAAACCAAACTTTGTATTTGACGGAGAGAAGTTCAGTGAAGAAAAATCTTAGTTTATGATTTACCAACAACGGTAGTCCTGATCCACTCCCAGAACTCTGGGACTGGTCAATAAGGTCTTTTAGTGACTCCCCAGCTGGAATAAATGCTTCATCTTGTTCCAGGTCACGATTATAACAGTGCCTCTTTGCCATCGACTTACAGTAATGCCTGCAAAAGAGGAGAAGTTAAGCTGAACAGCAAAACACTCTTCAAACTAGACAGTAAATTGAGCTAGGAAAAAAGCTACTTAAATGTACAAGTTTCCTTAAAAGAAAAATATAATCAGATTTTACTGTACCTTTTTTTTTCAGAAATGTAACTTACATAGTTTTTTAATATTAAGAAGTTGTTGTAATGCATGTAGAAGCACATCAGTTTATTATGAGTCAGGTGGAAAAAACAGCATTTTTAATACACAGCTCACAGCCAGTGTTACTAGTGTACACTGCTGGTTTTGGTTTAAACTAACAGACTGAACCTTGAACCATGGCAGAGGAGGCGGACACACGGACACTTCTGCTGAAACTGCTAGAACAATGATCACCTCCAGCATACGGCTGGAGCTGACAGAACCAGGCATAGTCTCTTAAACGGCACCTGCAAGAATTGCCATAGCTCGGCTGGTCAATTACTTAGTTTTGAAACACAGCAGGAAAAGGAAAAGTTATAAAACACATTCTTGTCACGTTAGGTTTGCAAAAGCACTTTACAAAGGTAAATCTCAGAAGTAGATGAACTTAGCTATCAAAAGTGACTGAAGATCCAAAAACATAAAAAGCATCAAATACTCCTGTTTACTGGATGCTACAGCATTGAAGTTATATGTAGCTTAGAAAACTGTAAACACTTTGTAGCCAGAGGAAAGGATCAAATTCACTTAAATTCTATGTTGTGAACATTTCATTTTACATAGAAATGCAAACTGCTATCCACAGAAATGTGAAATTAAACTACAACTGTTTCACTTCCAATCTATTTTTATCAGAAATACATATGATTGACTGAGTACATTTACAAAAGAACTGTTCTGTTCACACTTATTTGGGAAATTAAAAACATTGCCAATAAAGAAAGTGCTTCCCTTACTTGTAACAAAAGCAGCTAAATAAGATGATCATGACAATTATGCAGACCGCCATAGAAATCAACACTGCCATCCAACGAATGCTGCCATCAAAAAGTCCATCTATTAAAAAAGAAAAAAAAAAGGAAAGTTTCCAAAGTCTACTAATTAAACATCTATTGTAAACAGTGTATTTGTATACTGTGTATACAATGTGCACAATCGGAAACATGGGAGGTTTTGTTGGAACATCAGGAAATACTTCTTCACTGTGAAGGTGATCACACCACTGGCACAGGTTGCCCAAAGAGGTTGTGGAGTCTCCCTCCTTGGAGATACTCAAAAGCCATCTGGACATGGTCCTGTGTAACAGGCTCTAGGTGGTCCTGTTTGAGCAGGGGGGCTGGACCAGACAATCTCCAGAGGTCCTGCCCAACCCTCAACCAGTCTATGATGCCGTGAGAGTATGTGGAGCCACTTGCAAAACGTCAAAAAAGGGCAAGACAGCTGATGCATATAACATACCAGTTCATATGAAATTACACAAAATTTATAGTGTTTTAGCATTAAAGTATTCACACTAGAAAAGCAGAGGTAATTTCATTTGGATGACAACTGAAAAAAAAAAGGATTTAACTTGAGATTTTGGAGTTGTTGGTTTTGGTTGACTCTTGTTAGTTGGTTCTTAGAAGTAGAGATGAAGGATTTACAGCAGTAAAATTCTAAGAAGGTATTAAGCAGCAGTTAAACCAGTACAACTTGTCTAGCAATGAATGAGTAAGCACGTGAAAATGCAAACTATTTTCACTGGGAAAAACAGAAAGAAGAGAATCAATTTACAGTAGGTCACAGTTAAGATATATTCATCATGGCAAAAGCACAGCAGAGATTAAGAAAAATGTTTTAAAAAAAAGAGAACAGGCTGCGGAAACAGAATAAAAACAGATCAGAAGATCACATGCAGATCAAGATATGAGCAAACTGAGGAAGAGAATAAAAATACCATGACTGACTGATGGAGGAAAAGATTAACTTGGAAGTGGCAGAAAAGGAAAACTGGAAATAGAGTACGAAGTGTACTACAGAGCTTCATATCAAAATTACTTTGTAAGGAAAAAACAGATCTGTGCAATATTGTAATTACATTTTCTCCTTATTTTTATCTGTTGAGCAGGAAGAAGAGAATCCACATAGCATTTATTAGCAGCAGTGTGAACATCTAGGAGCTGTTTACCTGTACTATCAAGTGGTGGTAATGTTGGTTGTAAATCCTGATTGCAGAAATCAGTCCGACAGCACTCAATTGTTCGACGTAATTGTGCTTTAGGTGAGTCCTGTTGAATGAGAATTGAATAAACTTTCAGACTTTGAAGTGATCAGCTAGGACAGGGACAGGTGATGCAATGGATACAACACAGCACAGACAAAAGTTTAAGCTATTTTATTTCAAAAACCAGTTCAACCTCACCATTCAACGTATGGGACAACTTCACAGTGGCAGACAGGCATCATCTAATCTCTTTGAGTGCATACGTTCTACGTTCGCTATTTTTATTTTTCATGGAACTTTTTTCCATGCACAGAGATAGATTTTTTCCATGCACAGAGACAGATGGTTTCTACTTAAGTTGCTATTTCATACGTTGCAAAATTTTAAAGTTTGGTCAAAAGCAGTTAATTGTATGCTAAATAAACACTGTTTTTAAGACAAAAAACCCTCAATCCCTTTAGAGGTTTTTCTCTTGCACTCATCGTAGCAGCACCGTTTGCTTCAAAAACATCTTCAGAACACCATATAAAAGACATATAAAAGATGGAGGGGCATGAGAATTAATCTGAAAGTAAGACATGAATACAAGTACAAGAACAACTTCAGGAGGTCATCATGACACCTCAGGTCTGATTTGCAGTAACCCTAAATAGTGCTTCCAAAAAGCAGTGCTACTGGCAGTTACATTACATAGAAACTCAAGTCCTAGAGATTTAACATTGAGTAACCAAAAAACAGTGATAGCATTTTGGGGCAGGGCAGGGAGGGGGGAAGAAATCTAGCAGGTGATTACCTCTGAACGTTTTGTTTAATGTAAGCAATGTGACAAAAGAAAAAGTAAAATCCAGTCTTCCAAGGCAATGTTCATTTGCCCAGCTAGTGCTGTACCCCTGTCTTCTAAACAAATCCTTGCTTTAACAACTGTATTTTCAGTTTCAACTTTTGTAACAGATAAAGAAGTTCTAAGGGCAGCAGTCTGTTTAAATATACCCCTTTAAATCAAAAGCAAGTTATATTCATGCAATTAACAATACATAACTTTTCTAGAAAGAAAAAAAAAAGTTGTTACATGTCGGACAAGAAAACACACATTTGACAAACTGTGTACATGTTTCAAAACTTTAAGGGAGTTCCTGTGTAATCTGTGAAGATAACCCCTTATGATTAGGGTCTTCTGTCAAATGAACTGAAGAAAACAAGAAATTCCAAATTAAATCAAGAAATTCTGCATTAAGACATAAACTACTCAGATCAATTAGGTTGACTATAAAATTGTCTCTTCAAATGAGAAAACAGCTGACAGAAGTAAAAGGTTGATGTCTTCTGTTCATTTTGTCATTGGCTTACAGATACTTGCAGAGAACTCCAACAAGCTAGGATTCTATTCCAATCTTTGCTCAAACATCATTAAGTGTCCTTTCTGCTACTACTACTACTCACCCACGACTGTTCAGTCCCATTCTCCTCAGTGGTAAACGCCAACATGCAAAATTCTATGATTGCAGTTGTAAACTACAGAGAGTTAAACAGCCTGGGCAGCTTCCCTACATAATTTCTATAGAGATCTTAAATTTTAATGATATCTTTTAATGATATCTCATTTTTTTACCTTGCACTGGAAGTCTGAACCTTCATACTTCATGCAGCCAGAAGCAAGTGTGGGTTCTCCATGTTCATCTTCCTCAATGATAGCAAAGCAATGCCCATTAGTTCTGGAATAAACATATCACTTGTGTTTTACCAGCATATTTGTTTAATATGCAGCATCAGCTGACCACAAACCCTCCATGAATACTAGAAAGGACAGAACATTGTAGGGACATTTTCTCCTGAATATTCTGTCTTCTACTTCCTAACCCCCGCTTTGAGATTGCTCGTATCCAACCATAAACGCGCATAGTTTAGAAACAACTGAGGGGGTGGAAAAGTAGAGAACTGAAAAGGTTTACTGACTGCAATTTTATAGGTTAAAAATAAAATAAATTCACTTGTGTCTGTTCTCAAAACTGCAATGACACACTCTCAAAGAGAAGTCCCAGTATGTGAAAGGTGGCTGTTTCAAGGTCAAAACATCAGCTACACTTTTCCCACATAAGCTCTCTCAAATATTGAACCTTTAGGGCAAAACAAATAAACAAATACCCAAACCCACTTTCTGAAGTTGACAGGAACAAGTTAATTACATTCTTCAAAAGAAAAAAAAGGGCCACTTCAATTCCTCATCATCTCTTTATACAAATGCTTTGATTTCTGTGCTACATGAAAGGGTCGACACATTTTTAAGGAACCCCAAACCAATTGGCAATGGTAGGTCTGCCCTTTCAATACCTCTAAAATTAAGATTTTATTAAGTAAATCAAAATTCATTCATTCATTCCCTCAACACAGATACTGAGGAAAACAAATCTAGAAATATTTTTGTTTGCCAAAAAAACCTTTTCTTTAAATGAATGTAAATAAATGCAGATTTGGGAAGCATAATGCCATATAATATCCTGCACATGAACACTGCAAAAGTGTTATTAACTCTAACAGTTTTATTATCAGAGTAATGATCTATACAGCCATTAGTTAAGAGGTGAAAAAATTAGTAAGGCCTATATTGATTGCATACACCAGAGGGCGATAAAAAGCCAAAAATAAATACCAAAGGACTTGAAAGACAAAATACTGCATCATAACTGAACATTTTCTAGCTGCAAAATTGTTTGTAAAACACTATCTGTGTTTACATTTAAAAAGATAGTAGTGTTTATTCCACCTCCTTGGGTTGCACAAAAACTGCTTTATCTGCCAAGTGACAGCTTTAGAGAGGTTTAGTATTATGTGTTAAAAGTGAAGACTCAAATTACAGTAGCAAGTAATGTCTTTTCTACTATGTATCTTTATATTAGTTCTTAGAGAAGAAAACAGAAGGACCTTAAACATGGAACTGCAAATGAAGAGAAAAAAGGAAAAACAAGGACATTTCACAACATGAAAAAAACATCTTAAGCAAGTATGTAATGAATGCATGCATCTGTTAGGATTCTTATGCCTATCAAAGTTAAAACTACCCCCCTGTCCCTGTATGTTCAGAACCTTTTCTTTCCCCCTCTCCACCTTTCCCTCATACTCTACAACAAATGAACATGTAACAACAAGAATTCTCAGTAAATGGCTATGTTGCTAACACTACCTTTTGACTAACAGGCAAAGAAATATTAGACTAAGCAAGCAGGTGGTCCTATCAGAAGGTTTAAGACTTGGGTCATTTAATACTCACCCCGTTACAAAATGCTACAGGCTGCTTTTAAAACCTCAGTCCTTCAAAGCAGTTGCTGGGGGCAAAACGACTAGTTGCAAATGGTTCTAAGGTATGGTGAAAGTCACACTGTTTACATACAGATGACCACGGGTTTTAGTGCTCAGCTTTCCACAGAACTAGTGAGTCTAATCAATTACGGTCAAATCACCTGACAGAATCTCAGTCAGCACTCTAGAGATTATTTGAGCAAAAATGAGCCTCTTCAAAGAGCCTCTTCTACCCTGTATGCAATACTTACATGCATGTGTTATTAACAGCATCATCTGGACAATGTCCTGAGCAGTAGCACTTAAGAAAAGGTAAGGTGTCCTCTGGAGCAAGTGTTACTCCATTTGCTTGTTTCTTTTGGTCAGGATTTGTCTTCATTCCTGTGCCATGGACATTTAAAAAAAAAAAATAACCCAAGAAAATATTTTTGCATCTCTCTGATAACTGTTCAAGAGCTTTACAGGAAAACATGACAACAGAATAATTATATTAACAAATAATTGAACTATACAAGACATAAGAGCCTCCTCTCCCAAGATTATGGCAGAAATTTGAATTAATCATTTCATTCTAGAAATACCTAGCTCAAATATTTTGTATCTTAACAGCAGATCTTCCAACCATAATCAATATGAACAGAAAGAGGATACTTTTCCTTTTTCAGGTGAGGCAGAAAAGTAGTGATGTAGCTGGCAAGAATTTTCTGAAGAAAGCCTCATTGATGTGTTTAGAAAACCAAATTACTGACCGCTTGATAACCACAACAGTATAATTTTATGCATGACTGAACATACTTAATATGCAATTTTCTAATTTTCTGAAGTCATTTTTTATGGATTCACTGTCTCATAGAAGAGCAGTAATAACTCCAAAATCTCTTGGGTTTTTTGATCTCTGTATGCATTAGTACTTCAAAACAGAGCTGAAGTAAATCTTGTTTACAAATTAAATTTCAGTAAATGACATGAACATCCACACAAACGAGCTTTCACAGAATAAAAATAGGTCTAAATTACGTTCCAAGTAGCCCTCAATTTCTCAACAGGATGAGAGCTGAGCATCGTTTGTTTGAGTTCATATTATTAAAGTGTTTTTGTGAACATAGGCATTCAGAAGAAAAACTCCATCTGTTCTCTTCTTACCAAAGAAAATCCAAGAAAAAAAGTTTAGGAACTTTACCTACCTGATTTGGATTATGTTTTGTGACTACTACATGAGATGAGAACATCTTCACCCATCTCCTCCAGCTTTAGTATGCATAATTTTACCAACAGAATATCTCTTTCTGTCCATCACCTAACAGTATTCTTGGCTATAAGTTTTCAAGGTGTGAACCAAATAAAGGTAGAAGAGCTGTGAACAGACTACCACCTGCACCGACACAATTCACAGCAAGCCTCTGCGAGAGGCTCAGTGTGCAAGGTAAGAGAACAGCCAGTTAGGACTGATAGAAGCTTTTACAAGTTCAGTTATAACTAAAAAAGTAGAGGTATCTCAGTACCTCTCAAAAAGATTTTAGCCATAATAAAAGTTTCAATTTATCTAAGAATAAAAAAAATATATATTTTGACCAGGAAACTCATGGTCTCTTTTAACAGATTCTTCTGGCTTCCTGTCAAACCCACTGAACACTAGCTGTAGAGTAATGAGAACACCACTCTCATGCTGTACCTTGCTTGAAAGATGTGCAGAAAAACTAGATTAGAACCATGTGCAGATACCACCCCCTGTACCACTCTATTGCAACATCCACTGTATCTTTCAGCCAAATATGCAATTTATGAAATTTGACCTTATTGTTCTGAAAAAAGCAGGCCTGCAGATATCTTTATCTGATTAATACAGCACACCCACTGCATTGTCCCGACTGAGCGATTTCCCTGAAAGTAATGAAACTGTGCTTTTTCAGATACAACTAAGAATATATCCTAAGAAAGTACAGCAACATTTACCTACATCCTCAAATCACTTAGCTATATTTTATTTGAAACGCAGTTTTCAAACAGTACTTCAGTAATGCCGGAGTCAAATATTCCCAGTATGTACAGACTGTTAACAGAAAGAAGGTCCAGTGCTACAATAACAGTTTACCTGTGCAACAGGTATTTCTGATTTAACCAAAAGGAATTTTGCATATATGAAATAGTAGCTCCTCCATCTGTCCCCTCTCTCTTTCTACAGATTTCTTCCCAGTAGAAACTGAAAGCTCATTTCAATACTGTGCAACAGCTGTTACACAACATTCTGTACTCACATTTAAGAGATCCTTACCTGCGCAGAGAACAGGTAATTCTACTTAATATTTAAAGGAAAAGCCACTCCATATGTACAAATACTGTCTTTCCTTCTAATTTTGTTGAACTACTAAGGCATCTTTCCTAATTAATGTCATAAAACCCCTTTATCTTAAAGAGACATTCCACATGTTAAAAGTGAATACTTTATGATCTATGTCTCACAGTCACTCATCCATCTTCCTACTCTGAGCACTGAATGCACCATTTTTTCATTTTGTTAGAAGAGAAATCAAGGAACCCTTAAAGCACGGCTTCTCCTAGCTCAGAAGAGAAGGAACAAAGTTTTCATGCAGGTCTGGGATCTTTTAAAGCAGTATTATTCTTTCTAAACTAACAATGAAGTATGACTATATCAAACTTTTATGCTAAAACTTAGATGAAATACATTTTTCCTCTTTATTTATTATAATGGATTGTATAACAAGATTTATGAAGAACACATACCAAATAAAATCCATAATAGATAGCCATATTTTCAAAGAGTTAGCATCTATGTATTTTATACAGTTTATATAGGCAAAGACTTTTATTCAAATCAAAACCGGACCACAATTTCATTATCTTCGTGATGTGAAATGATACTCCATGGTAGCCTGCTTTCACCTTACAGGTAATATCTGAATTGCACAAAGAATGGGGAGACAGGGGAATCACTTTCCTCTTGCACTTTTACTTTCTAAGACCATAAAGAGAACTCTTATTAAACAGGAGTTTAATTGAGTATCCAGAGAAGGAAGAAAAAGGAAAATATTGAGACTGTTTGGAATCACTTCAGAAGAAAGTTTTTAATAGCCCCCCATCTAGATATTATCCGTAACTGTACCTTTACTGCAGCACTACAATTCACGCTCAGCATTTCAAAAAAGACTAGTGTCTATCTTAAAGATGCTAGGTATGGGGATGGGAGTTGAATGTGGAAAATGACTTGGCTCCCATTCACCTGAGATGTTAAGAGGGCAGATCAAGATCTGAATGGGGTCACAGGATGTTTCATTGCTGTTTCTCCTCGTTAATAGGCACTGGGTAAATGAACATGAGTGAATGAAGGATATGCCTAAATGACATCTCGCTTCAGAAACCACCTGACCTTCTTGCGCCAGTGCTCTCATTATCCCCCCACCCTCAGAGCTCCACCCCTCAAACATGCACGCTGCTTCATCTTCCTTCTGGGAGCAGGACAGAGAGAGGGAGGATCATGTTTTAGGGATCTTGTGACATGACACTACTTGATGATGTAATTAATGGCTTCTCTGTGACACATACAGCTGTCAGCTCTGCGGTGCAGCTAAGAAACACGCATACACAAATCTCACATAACCTTCAAAACTGTAAGTGTTATCCATTAACACACACAGCTTTGAAAGAAAAAAGTTTGCACTGAAATACAGTACCCAGAGATTTCAAGCACAGCAAAGCTTCCTTCTCCATTATTTCCTACCCTCTACCTGGAAACTGCACAGGGCTGGTGGGGCAAAATAACGTACATTAGCAGCAAATGAACTCTCACATGCTGGAGGACTTGTTCAAGATCCTGGACCAGTTTCAGTCTGTTTGTCCAGCCTTGAGAATGATAGTATCATGTATCTTTAAACATACAAACTGCTCTATAACGTGTATTTTACCACATTTCAAAAACTTAACAACTTTCAACGAAATAGAGTGATGGTGAGCTGGAACATTCTCTTCTTCTCATGTAACCACAGTATAAGACAATAAAGAGAAACAAGCTGATGGGGCTTTAAATTCCCAGTTCGTCATCTGCTCTGCGCCATCACAACATTGTCTCATGCATACTGCATTAATTTTAAATTTCTAGATGTGTGAACAACTGCTACAGATAAGATGACATTTAAATGGCTTTTTGTTTGAAATTAAAAGTTTTTGAATAAAAAAGAACATCTGCCAATGTACTGTATCCAGCCCTTGACCGAAAATATAAATTACTCAAAGAACTACTTCCTCCAATCATAGAAAGTAAGTCCGACTATAAAATGTATTTTAAAGAAGCACAGTATATTAAAAATCCCACTAGGTTAGAAGGGTAAGTCTACTTGAAAGCACGGCTTCAAATACTAATACTAGTATTAATATGGATAATCTTTAAAAGGTACTGTGCGTGACAGTGAAGTATTAATAACCACTAAAAACTGAGCTAACTTGGTTGCAACTCAATCCGAGGATACATATGTAATTTCATAAAGCCTTCTGATCTAAGAAAAGATTTGTGTAACCCATAAAAAACCAGTTCTATTAAGAAATGCAGAGAACAGTAAGTGAAAGATGAAAAATACAAAAGCCAAATTATGTCTGTAATCTCTTGCTTAACTGTACCCCATCTTACCTCCACGAATAAAGTTGCAATGCTCGAACTAGTAGTCTACAGCATTCAAGTTGTTCAACAGCTTTCTGAATTCATAATATAATGTTCCACATAAACCCATTTTTATTCCAGAGTACATTATCCTTAAAAGGGATTTATCCTAGCAGAACTACAGCACTACCAGCATTTCTCTGTAGCTATTCTGATCCAAGCTTGTAAACCCCAATAAATCCAATAGTTAAATAAAAAGAATCTTTGACAGAAGACCACCTTCACCTGCCTTCCTGCTGGTGCTAAAGCTGTTTGAAGGGGCTAGCTGACACTCAAGGCTTGCCCACACTGGACTCTTTTCATAAAAGATGAAAGTTGTACCAAAGCTCTTTATGTTAGATAAACCTTCCTTATCAAAAAGACATACCTTGAAATTTTTATTTGCTTGAAATTTATTTTGCAAGAAACAAACTTTCTCTTGCTTTAGGATGCAGATACTGCAAAATCATCCACTCCAACAAGGACATTTCACCGTTCTGCCTACCGTTTCGTAACGATTTAACATGTACTGCTACGCGAATGAAACCTCAGTATAACTGATACAGCCTGAGTAAAATACTACCACTTTTTCTTAAAACACAAAATAATTAAAAAAAAAAATCAGAAAAACCCCACATTTTTATGAGTGCAAAGGAAGTATCTTAAATGCTTCTATGAGCTCTGTGTCTGGCATTTTAAACATAATTCTCCCCATAGTGCTTTTTTATATATCAAGGCTCTAGTCTCCAAAGACCAGGCATGTTACAGGGAGCTCCATCTAGCAGAACTGGTTCTTAAAAATCACAGCACGTTCCCAGACTACTTGTTTAAAATCTCTATCACCCTCCAGCTCTCCCAGAGGCCACACCAGCGTTCAACACAGGCAGCCTCTGCCCCTCTACCTTCCCAACCAGCAATCCCCAGCCTCTGCTCCCACTTCCCTTCCTCAAAAGAGTCACTTCTGAAGACTACTCTCTGTTCTTATGTATTCAATACAAAAGCCAGAGACAAGAAAATTCTACGTGTATTTTACTTTAAAAAAAAGTACGTTGCACTCTAAATTAAATTAAATGGACTTTTAAAGAATAAAGTTACCTAAAATTAAAGGTGAAATTATAATAAAGAAATATATAACCTTTTAATAATCCATTAAAATAACCTTAATCAGACAAATATTTAACAATACATGTTTGTTGCCCATGTTTTAAAGACAGATGCAGCCATTAATTGGGGAAAGCACTGATAAATAGAACTACGCTCTGCTCAGGTTCTGAAAACTCTACGTTCCTTCTGCAGATTTTAGAATATTTTCTTTATTTCAGATTAATTTATATGTTTTAATTCAGTAACTATTTCACCTGAAATTCAGAAAGCACATAAAACTAAAAAAAGTAATATCCTTTTCTATATCAAACCTTTGAATAAAAGTATGACAGTGAAATCAAATGTCAACAGATTTTTTCAGTTCACTAACAGACAGTGCCAACATATTTAACATTAACACCAATTATTCTTAAATTTAACTTTCAGTAAACCTTTCTTCATACATATTGAATGCTATTAATACACTTTTAGTCAACTAATTTCAAGGATTAAAACACTGGTCTTCTGCGGTGTCTCTGAAGAACACATAAAGGTGTGATGAACCACATATTTAACGTTACATCATATAATAAAACTGACAGTAACAAAGTACAAAATTCACGAGAACGTGTTAAGTATACATTAACTACTCCGTTACATATATTGATGAGTTATGGTCATCAATGCATTATAAAAACAAATAACGAACTCTACTTGGAAGTAAAACTGGTTCTCCGAACTAAAAACCTGCACCAGTGGGAAGACAAAAGCATATTTACTGCAGTTCTCGAGTGCAACCAAAGCTAATAACCTCTTGCCTTAGATAAGCAAAAGTAAGTGGATGAACATGCAGAGCAAGTCACAGGTCTAAAGATATTGCAAAGGTCTTCCACAGCAAGAAAGGAAATACAAAAATGTTCTTCTTGAAAAGGCTGCTATTAAATCTAGCCATCTGCTACCCAGGCTTATTTTCAATCCTTTCTCAATGTAAGTGAAAGTCCCACAAGCTATGAATGAGATATAATCCAAAGGGCAATCATGTGTCCTGCTGCTCTGTAGTACTGACCTGAGAAAGAGCAGCTGTTCACCAAAAATGTCATGGAATTGCCTGTGTTTTCTGCCATGGTTTAAAGAATATTTTCATATTAATCAACAGATGCAGCCATTTGTTTTTTAAAGTTACCTATTATGGAATCTGGTGTGTATATATACATGCACATGTACAAAAACACTTGCTATATTATCATTCTTTCAGATCTTGGTAAGCCCTGAAATTCCTACCATTTTGAAGAAGCCTCCTAAACAAGTGAGGGAGCAAACCATTAAGCTGGGTGCCAGTCACTGGAAGTACACAACACACTGCGTATTTCTACTTTCTCTGCTTTTCTCTCCGCTTTCTGTAAGTCACATGAATTCTCTTCAAATTCCTCGTAATGTGTCTTCACCTTTACTGGTTCCTTTATCATGCATTTTTGTAACATCCCGCATATATTTTCCTTGTTGAAACTAATTTTTCCACTTTTAGTTTGCATTTTTTAAACTTTTCACTTTCAATTTCCTCTTTCGTATAAAAATTCCGAATACTTGATTGATGAATATCAGCTTTATTGTTCCCCCCACCCCCCAAGCACAACTCCTCCATGAATCTAGGGACAAGCAGAGAGACTTGACTGTTTTTCTACTCACCACCCCTAGAAACCAAGCATATTTCATATGTTTGAAGACAAGCCCTTAGGCAACTTGCATCAAAGAACCAACAACATTTCAGCAAGCTCAACTTTCCCATGGCTTTCAGAACTTGCTCAGTATTGATTTGAAAGTCATAAATATTCCTAAGACAAGGCAATTTCTTCTTTAGAAGATGGGGGAAAAAAACCGAACAACAACAACTTACAGAGTCTTTAAAATTAATTTGGCTATATTATTTATTAGAAGTTATCTACTGAAGCATTATGAATAAATGTGATCATGGAAAGAGTTAACATAATTTAAGTCCACTACAAGACCTGTATATTTGTATTATTGTTTCTATTTGTATCTAGAGAGAAAAATATTTGTTCCTTTGGTTGCTATTGCCTTTGAGTAAAATGCTGAATATTGACTAATGCAAAGGGGTAACCATGACTTCAGTAAGAACAACAAAGCATATCACTCACTCCCAACTGCAAGGGACGAAGCTGGTGTCTTCTGCAAGAATCAGCAAAACTGCTTGAACAGTAGTAGAACAAGCTCCACTGCCAAATGCTATGTCTGAGAGTATTTTAATGTGGAAGAGACATCCAGAAGTCACCTGGTACCACCACCTGGTCAAAGCAGGACCAACTTTTAAGTGAGACCAGGTTGTTCAGAGTCATTCTGGTAAAGTTTTGACTCTAAGGACGGATACTGCACAACCTCTCCAGGTAGCCTGTTCTAATGCTTAGCCACATTCACAGTGAAAATTTCTTTCCTAATTTCTCACCAAAATTTCCTTTATTGTGATTTGTGCCCATTACCAATCTAATCACCTTAAAGCTACCTGTAAATATTTGTAAATCTGTACTATAAATGTCAAGTATACCCAAACTAGGCTATTCCTGCCTAAATAGATTGAGCTATTTCTTGCCAATCAAAAATTGTATGTCCACAACAGGAAAAGGGACTGGGCTTGAGAATTTCTCTCTCCCAACTTAACTAATATAACAAAGATGGAAGAATCCTGGATTTATGTTTGTTTTGTTGTTTTCAACCTTGAAATCTTTGCTGCAATGGCAAAGCTTCAAGCGAAGACCCATGCTCTTCCCCACTCCTGAAATACGTGTGTGCATGCATACACACACACACAGAGTGAATCAAGCTAAACATCAGCCCTTGAAGCACATACCTACAAGTTAGGAGACAATATTCTGAGCCCCTGCAGGCTAAAAAGATGAAAGCGCTCAAATAACTTGGTAATTATACAGGAACACTTGTCCAGTTTTGGAAGAAAAGCGTTTACAATTCTGTAGTCTGTACTCAATGACGCACAAGCTTTCAGTGCTTGTGGTAGTCTCCTGGACTGAATGCCACAGGAAACTCAAAAGGAAGAAAGACAGTGTTAAATAAAGTGCAATTCTGCACAGATCCAGAGTGAAGCCTTCTGTTCCATAAAAGCTTAGCTGTGGATGTGTGTGTGGGATGGTACTTGAAAGAGCTTAAAGATGATCCTCCTTGCGCTGAGGCACTATTCATTTAGTTCAGGTCTTAGTGTAGTTGACAGCTCATCCCTGGTCAATTCCAGGTAAATATCTTCAGTGTCATTCATATTTACTGCTTAATAAAGGTTTGGGTTACATTTACGGGTATAGTCTTGTGCTCTGCTTAAGTGCTTCTCCCCCACCCAGGTTAGAAGCTGCAGCAGTTCCCAAATACACCTTGGCACTTAGTTACAGGACGATAAATACCAGCACATGGGAAGAGGCAGGATCAAGTGGCTTGGAAGGGGCAGGCCCATTAGCATTTGATGCAAGCCTGCTCTTAAAATCAGTTGTCAAGTTATGTATCAAGCATAGTCCAGTTATGAGACAGCTCTGCTAAATCCTTTAATCTAATATCGCAGGTAGACACCAGAAATGGAACAAAAAGGTTGTCATTTGGGTACTTACCAGGCTTCCTCCTCTGCCCACTTAAATGGGTTCATTGAATTGTTATTCTTAAAAGTAAATAGCTCAAAGAATATCTCAAAATAAAAATCAAGCACTAAGCAGTAATTGATGTAAGCATGGAAAGAGAATATATAATTTTCTATATTCAAGTATTAAAATGGTAGTACCAATTTAGTCTTGTCTATTTCCCTCGAAACACAGGGAAAGCCCTGTGTAGTCAACTCAAACATCGGAGAGGTGCACAGCTGGGAGAGCAAGAAATTGTACACAGAGACCAACTGCGGATCTACATGCTTGACAGACATGCAGAGCACTACTGTTCATGTCCCAAACATGAGAATGCAATACCACTAACAGCTCAGATACCATTCTGCTATTCTGACACTTCCCTCAACTACAAACAATTACAGAATCAGATCTGCCAGGTACGGTTGCTAATGACTGAGGAAGTAATAATAAAATGGCTTTTCCCACAAATTATTTATAATCTTTATACTTAAGCTTCAAATCCCGATAGAGCATGAGACAGTCACATTGATTGGTTCCCAATACTTTTCAATTCAACCCAATTTGACAAAGGAGTTAAAGTTCTAACGATAACTGGATTTCCAGAAGTTTTTGATAACTGGTGGCTGGAAAGACAACAGACACACAAACGAGTATCTTCGCTAACTGAAAGCCAGGCTATTGCAAACATCCCACAGCCTCACCTCAGCCAATCTAGCAGGCGTAACAAGTTTATTTAGATTAGTTACGCCTCACTATCTCTTGGCTGCTGGGAGAACCAGAAAGCATGGGGAACTGTGCACTGCAATTTCTCCAGTGGGTCAAGTTTAAAGGGATCAAAGATGCATACCTATAGGAAACTGAAATTCAGAAAGTCAAATCTTCGATTCTGCTGCTCAATTCTGCTATCGTCTCTATTTAAGCATTTGCTAAAACAGACTTAATCTACAATCTATACTACAACAACACACGACCACTATAATGTCGTCCTTTTTAGGAAGTGTCTACATGGTATGTCAGGCAGATAAACCACCTGCCTGCAGAAGAACAACAACAACAAATAATTAAAAAAACCTTACCCCAACCACCAGCATACACTCAACTCAGTTACAGATCAAAAATATATCCTTATTTCAGCTAGTACCTATTTACCTTGAACATGGAGAATGACAAGCAGATAGGCTCCAAGCAATTGTTCATAAACCCTCAATCGAGTCATTGTTCACTTTTAATCCTTCCTGTGCAAGGCGACTGGTTCTTCTGCTTGACAAATGTTAAGCTTAGTCTGTTCGGTGAAGCCTAATACACGATTTGGTGCTTGACTGCAAAGATGCTTTTGTAACTGTTCCAACTTCGTTTCCTGAAAGATACAGTAAAACAAAGTGTTGAGAAACTCCTTGCATTTCTGAAACAAGAAAAAACCACTGATCACAACCATGTGTCATCAAAAAATAATTAAAAATGCACATGTTTATTAAGATTAATAACTGAAAACATTAGCCACATTTACTATCCAACTGAATAGCAGCGTTCTTCTAACAAACATGTTTTTGGTAATAACCCACAGGAAACCTTTTACATTCCTATCAAAAACATAGATATGTTAACTCACTAGTCACAGACGTATATTTTAGACTCATATACAGCTATCGTAGGTAGTATTCAACAGATTAACAAGTAAATCTGTTTGAAAACTCTTTTCTTTACAGAAATTAAAATTTATACTTATTATTTTTCTTAAAAATGAAACTCAATGGTGACTTCCCACATTATTGCAGGAAAAAAAAGCAACACCGTCTTGAGCCACCAGTTGAAAAATGCTTGCAGAGAAGCTTTATTGCAATAAAACCCCAGCCTCTCTGCTGGATGAAAGCTAAATTTGTATTACAACAGTTAGTTTACTTACCTAATTTACTTACAGTGTTACTTTTGTCTTCTAGAATAGTACTACGTCTTTTTTTATTTTTTTTAAAAAAAGCACCATCTCATTTAACATTTGAATGAAGAAAATAATTTCCCACTTAGATCCAACTATATTCCAGTCCCTCTTCCTGCAGACTACTACGTTATATAGTGTTTTCTGGAGAAAAGAAGTTAGCTCAGTTTACAACACCGATGAACATTTATTATTAATCTGTTAACTCCAATTCAAAACCTTGATATCCTCCTGGATTCCCAAGTTTGGTGCAAATTAATCCCTCCTGAAAAATTATGCTACTATATGCACACACCACTTTCTCCAAAAACAAAATATAATTCTATTCATCCGGTGGATGAACACATAGCTAAGATAGCCAAACTGAGTAAGAAGTTACTTTTTCAGACTGCAGTAGCTGTGGTCACGTTCTGCTCAATGAACTTTCTACAGCGATTCACAAGAGAAGCATAATTGGGCCTCAAAGGACTAAAAAGCAGCTCGAGCACCTAAATAGTTAATCGCCACAAAAGCGACGTTGCACAAAGACGAACAGAGGACCGATTTTGCCTTTCCTCGGCCTCTTGTTTCGGTGGGCTTGACCCCCCTGACCCCTGTCAGCCTGGCGCTCCTCATGAATGGCAAAACTGGCGTTCGCTCAGGGATGGGCTGCAATTACTGTTGGTGGCCGCTTCCACCATCAATAACTCAATCTGTCTGTCGGTGAGACCCAAGAACTTTTCATTTTAATTAGTGCTTCGGAGGCATTTAACATGGAGGCAAATTAGCGACCCAGCTGGGAGGTGTCCGTCACTTTCAATTTCGGCAGGGCCGGGGCAGGCCGCCCCGACCCCTGGCCTACTTTTCACACGTCCCTGACTTCTCCCTAATGAAGCGACAAAGCGCCCCTGCGCCAGGGGAAGCCGGGGCGAGCTCCGGGCCGGGCACCTCCCGCCCGCGGGCAATGCTCCCCGAATGCTGCAGCGGCTCCGGCGTTTGCCGTGATCACGGCGGGATGGACCCGAACAACACGCTTTGTGGACGTCCTGAGCACTCGTAAACTTCAAAATAAACCTCCTGGCACGGTAGGGGTAAAAGCAGTATCGTAACAAAAATACTCATTCTCTTTAGTGCTTCCTAATCACAAGAAACAGGACCAATTCTGACAGCTGACAGGGAATGTCCTTCTAGCTATAAAAACATCAGGCCAGCAACATCAGTTTGTAAGTATTACCGCTTTACTCTCTGTTTCAACTGCAATGAACATCAATCCTTAATAAAACATGTGGAAGACAAAAACTGCCAACAACCTGTATGTAGTAAAACAACAAAGACTTTATTTATAGTATTATTTTTGCAGTCCATCACGGAAAAAAAAACCCACTAACAGTCTAAAGTATATTTAAAATTAATTTCTGTCCGTCTTTTCCAGGCAAGTTTCAGTGAGGACTACATATTCTCAACTCTTCCACGTTTCAAGAGTAGGAGTGTTTTAAACTTTCAGAAAATCGGTGTTCTCGCTCCCCAGCTCAGTAAGGTAAGAGAGCACACTGGCACAGCAAATGAACATGCAACGTGTATTTACTACTGTACTACACACTATGTTATCAAAATATCAAAAAGAAATGGGAAAAAACTCCAACATTTTAATGCAACTCACTTCCATTTTCACAGTGATTTTTGTTCAGTGAGACAATCTATGGTAATTTTCAAAAATGTTGTCCAAGCCTATTCAGAACGTAACACTCACCACTTAGAACCAGTATTTTGTACCCTAATCTTCCTTTCATTAATATTTCATTTTTCACAGATATATATTAAAATGTAAATATGTATACAAACACGTGATAAAATGACACTGAGAACAAGTTTTGTTATAATTCCCCATTTCAAAATCACTCAAATTTGAGAACGCTTGTCAGCATTTAAAAGAACACCTCAAAAATGGAAAGTAAAACCCAGCAGGGCTGTACTTCCCCTGAAATGCACATATGATGCCTTAATACTATTACTTGGGTTAGCTTTCTGTGGCTGCTACTCTCAGTGTCAAAGTTTGCCCTTAGCCAGGAAAGCTGGGCAGCCGGCTGCAAGCCTTGGCCAGAGAAGCACTGATGAGCCTGGCTCACCCACAGCACTAGCAGTAACATTTCACTGTTGGGCAGGTGAGCTTAAGGCACGAACGAAAAACTAGCTATTTACAACAAAATGTCCCAATATGAACTATATGAACTGCAGTGTGGACACATGTCCTATTCTACCACCCACATTACGGAAGCAACAAAGCTATGTCAAAAACACGACATGGATGGTTGAGATGGTTGAGGCAGTTTTTTCAGTCACCACAGTAAAATTCAGCAGAGTTTTCCTGCCACAGCTATCAGAAGAGACATTAGGCATTTTTTTACCCATCCATTTTAACCATTCTTCCTTTTTCTCCTGTAAGTTTCCGAGCTAAACAAACTAAGGCAATCAGATCTCTGATAGCTTATGTTGCTCATTTGTAGAAAGGGAAACTGAAAACATTTCGTTTTTAAAATCACCTGGTACACCAATAGAGCTATGTAGTTTCACAGCTTAAAAAAAAAAATTTTAAAAAACAGACTAGTTGTTCTAGCACTTCTAACAAACGCCACACCCCAAAATGATGTAGTTATGACCTTCCTATGAGAGCATCTTTCACTAAAACCAAAACAAACCATAACAACAAAAAAATACATTTGACAAAACTGAAGAGGCTGCAGTGACAACCTTCTGAATAATTTCTGCAACCCCATTAAAGAGGAAGACTGGCAGCTCCACTAAGGCACACTATCTAAAGTGAGCAACAGCTGGAATTTCTCCAAAACCTGCCTCATATTAACAGTGTAGAATGACACAATTAAATGACTACTTCAAATGTATGAAAGCACCAATTAACACCTGGAATGCTACTCTGCCAACAGAGCAATGGTGAAGAAACTCAAACCCAAAGTCCTCAAACTCTTTTTTTCTGTTGTAGCCTCAAAGAAGTATTCAACCATAATCTATTAAAAAGTAATTTATTATCAATTGTTAACACTCAATTTGTCTACAGTGTAATTTATTATCCTTACTAAAAATAGCTTATTGAAGCAAATGCTTTTGTTATTAAAACTGTGTGGGTTTTTTTCTGAACTGGAATTCAGCTGTGAATTCACAGCACTATCACGGCAGTCTAGCCCTACACTCCGTATGACTCCAAATACATGAAGCTAAAGCATGCAAGATTTGTCATATGGTCCAAAATAATTCTGAAAGCAGGGACTTCAGTGGTAACTGTTCCTTAGATGTGGCTCTGTAGTATTTTTAACAGCATGATCCCCAAACCAAATGAGCTGCACTGTCCCAAATTTCAATAAAGAATGGTAGTGCTGAATGTAACAACAGAGACAGTATTGTAAACGAACACATGAAAAAAGAAACTTCAATCTCAGACTTCACAAGAATTAGAACATTAAATCCAATTCAACATACAAGATGTTTCAAAAGATTTGCAGCAGTACATACAATACCAAGTAAATACATTTACCAAAGTAAAACTGAAAAATATTAAATTTTTCTCCCATGTGTAATGGGGGCAAGAAGTGACTTAAGTAACCATAAGCATATTCCGCCTCAATCACACATACAGATTTGAACACAACTTCAAGGTGGAACAGAATGCCAGAGATAAATTGGACTGTCAGTCTAAGCCAGTATGCAACAACTTTTCTATTAGAGCTTAAAAAAACCTGATATGCTGCCACAAAGAAAATTATTAATTTGGATGAAGAAAAGAGGGATTGTAAGAACAGTAAAGAATTCACTACAGGGCAGACAACAAGTAGTTTCAAGAACAGAGGTTACTCGTGTAGTTCAAATGACATTCAAGGACCTTGATTCTTGAATCAGCTTGATTCAAGAATACTTACCCTTTTCATTAATACAGTAAGCACAAAAAGTAAAACTTTGATAAACCTTGCTGACAAACATGAATTGCCAATTCAGTTGAGTGATTTTTTTTATGCAGGAAGATTTGGATGACGTGAAGAACTGAAGTAACAGAAATGCAATAAGCTACAATAGCACGAAATTTGGCAAGTTATGCATATTGGGAACTCCGAAGAATTTCTGCTTCACATAGACTAGGAGTTCATGCATAGGAGATAGCTACATCCAAGGACTCAAGTACACTAACCAATTACAGAACATCAGAGACATCCATGTGATGTTGCCGGGAGGAAGAGACAAACACAACTCTAGGTTTTCCCAGAGAAACTTCCAGGGGAAATAGTGAAACATGGACA